AGTTGTCTTCGTCCGTATTTGTTTGTGCGTATGGTGAAGGAGAGCTAGGTCATCTGTGAAGTCGAAATCGTCTGATTGATTCTGAGATGTCCATTGTATTTCTTGCTTCCGGTTAGATATCGAGTTTTTCATAATACAGTAAATCACCAGAAGAAAGAGGAAGAGGGAGAGTAGACAGCTTTGTCTGACTCCGGTCCTTACTGGAAATGCATCTGTCAGCTGTCCTCCATGCACGACTCTACACTGTAATCCGTCGTATGAGTTCCGAATCATGTTGATAATCTTCTGAGGAACTCCATAACGTCGAAGAAGTTTCCGTAATGTTCTCCTGTTCATACTGTCAAACGCCTTCTCATAGTCAATGAAGTTGTTTAAGTGTCTAACGCTTGTTATAATTAGTGGTTACTGATAACACATAATTCAATGAAATAATTTAATAAAATAACAAATTATTGTAGAAAAATTCAAAATTTTATCATACTTTTGATTTCAATTAAGTAGAATATAGAAAAAGTATACAAAATAGCATAAAATACTTCTATTAGTTACTGATAACAGAAGGGAATTTAAAAAAATTCATGTTAGTTAGACCGTTTAAATAAAGATTTTGCATCTTAATTTTTTTTGATCTACATCTAACTTTACATATTATTTCATTTATAATGATAAACAATCTCCAGACATAAATATCTTTATGTGTAACTATTATTCTCATCATTTTCAGGAAATCAACAAACTTAAAAGGAATGAAGAGCAATTCATGTCATTTCAAGCTATTCCCACCTTCAAGGTGAGAAACTTTAAGATGGTATTCTTTCATTACCATTTATTTCTTCACTTGAGTAAATGTGCTATTAACTATTAACTCATATGATATTCTTTCTTATCAACCCTTTGTCACCTGAGTAAAATGTTTGAAAACTATGAGTCTTAGTATCTTCTGAACATATTATTTCATATATTTTTATACTCATTTATATTCAGCTTCATTACACTAAACTAACGTACATGGTTTGGTGTTAAAAATGAAGACATTTAAATACGGGACAAATGAAGCTAAAGAAAGTAGCAAGATTTCCATGTACATTTGAGTAACATATTAATAAGTGATTTTATTAAATTGAATGTTCTCTTAAAGATATTTGATTTGAAGTTTTAAACGCAAAACCTTAACTTATTAGTTTTACAGACTCAACAATTGTAATCTTTTTACGATAATCTACTCTCTTCAGATTATATATAAAATGTCTTAACATATAACCGTCTGACTGATTTTTTTATTCGGCTTGTTAATTATAATTTACAATGACATATCATTTCTAACTTTCATCATTATTTTATTTCAGATTATTTCATTGGCTACTACAACATTCCGACTGATATGCAAGTTCCTATTTAGTGTGTTCATAACCTGTTTCCTGCTACTCACATGATATGAGGTAAAAATACATAATCATCATACTCAGTCTAATTCACTCCTATTAAAAATTTTAAAAATCATAAGGATTAGTGGATGAAAATGTAGTTTTTACATTTAGAAATAAAGTAAATAGTTAACTATCTTCGTATTAAAAACAAGAAAAAAAGTGAAGAATTTGATTTTTATCTATGAATCCGATTTATTAAATACAACAACAGTGCAATAATGTTTTCTCAACCTTCTTTTTTTATTTTTAGCCATCATATTGTGGGATAACAACTCACTAAAGGCAATTTGTGAATGGTCGCTCATAATTCGTGAATCGGTTGAAGTTAGACATTAACACAGTTGGATGCCGGCTCAGTGGTCTATCGGTTAAAAGCTCTAGCTCGAGACTGGTAGGTCCTGGGTTCGAATCTCGCGAGTGCGGGATCGTGTATGCGAACTGCTGAGGAGTACCATAATAGGACAAAACGGCCGTCCAGTGCTTCCAGGTTTTCGATGGTGGTCTAGCTTCAATTGACTCATGATTTCAACTTTGAAAAATACTGAAATCTCCACAAATCCCCTTCTGGTTTCATTATCATTTGTAGAATTACTAGTCAAATTGTTCATATAAAACACTATTCAACAAGTTAACCTAAACATTATTACGAATTTATCTGCTAAATAACTAACTGATATGTATTGAAAAAGGTATTGTGGATATCATTGTAATTTAACAGTTGAGTTCATGAATCAATCGAAGCTAGGCCACCATGGAAAACCTAAAAGCACTGGACGGTCGTTCCATCCTAGTATGGGACTCCTCAGCAGTGCTCATCCACGATCCCGCCATTCAAGATTCGAACCCAGGACCTAATGGTCTCGCGTGTGAACCCTTATTGAACAATTAATTTCTTGATTTTTAAGTATGATAATGATTTGAACTAAAATTTTATATATTTGAGAAAGGTCTAACAAAATGCACATTTATTATATTTTTCAAACTATACCATCATTATTATCTTTGGATTTGTAAAGAAAATCAACAACTATAGGTTATTTGATCAAAGAGAGTAGAAATAGGTTTGAAATCGATTAATTGAATTGCTTTATTTTTATCCCAACAATTACTTTTCCCAGTTTAATATCAGTTTATAATTAGTATCAATCGACTTATAACCATTTGATTAGTGTTAATTTTTATATCCATTTCTAAAATCTATAATATATCAGTCTAGAATCATAATGACAATTGAATTGTAATAAGAAGATAAATATTATCCAATTTATGTTTAAAAATTAATTAGATTTAAACAAATGTTTTTAATTTTATGGTTGAAATCATGAGTCAATTGGAGCTAGACCACCATCGAAAAACTTTGTAGCAATGGACGGTCATTCCCGTCCAGTGCTTCCAGTTTTTCGATGGTGGTCTAGCTATAAATTGACTCATGAAAATACTGAAATGTTTTAACTTAATATTATACTAGATCAGAAGATACAATACAATATTCTACTAATCATAAGATATAAATAAAGATTTATCTCTATGAATTATTATACATATATCAAGTGTGTTTTCTTTCTTTTGAAACGCTACCTTGGACTGGTATTGTCTTATGTAGAAATTCTAATTTAAAACACAATTATATGAACGAAGAATATTCTTTTCAATAATTTCTCATCAGGTTCTACAATTATAAATTAATAATCCATAAAAGAAGATTGGCCAAGTTTAAGGCGGAGTACATCAATTTAAGAAACTGTAATATGTGAATCAAGGATTGTTGATTGTCATATAAAATAAAATAAGATCGAATCGTTAATGTTTTTGGGATGACTAATATGATGTGTTAACTTGAATCAGTTTATAGGTGGAATGAAATCGTAAGATAAATGATCAGAATATATATAGTTGACATGGGGGTGAGAGATAGAAAAATGGGATTACAAATCGGAAATTACGTAATATGTAGAATTATATAAATTAGGTCAGATATAGTAGATAGGGGGTGGATGACGAATAAATTTCTCTAAAAGGTTAGCAGGTGTGATAATAATCATAATAATAAGAATAAGAATAATGACTGATAAGATGTGTAGATAAACAGGAAAACATCGTGGACGGGTCAGTATACTAACTTTCTTATTTTTGTTCCTCTACGGTACAAAAGGAACCTAATTAAGACATTACACTATAGAATTAAGACCATATGCTCTGAAGATACGGTCGAAGAAGAAACAAAAGCATTATATATGACCCTGAGGGAAAATGGATACCCGGAGAAATTTATAAACAAAAACATAATTAGTAAAAGAGACCATAAAGAATGTTTAACTGTGAATAAAAAGCCTCTGTATATACGTCTACAATTCAGAGGTGACGCACCTAGCGAAATGGTAAGATTGAAACTACGAAGATCAATCGAAAGGACTTTTAATGCAGGTAAACTACAACTAATGTTTTCCACACGCCCAATGATCACGCCGACGTTGAAAGATAAATTGCCTAGACTAGCCACTTCCTTCTGTATCTATCAATTCAACTGCTCCTGTGGAGCAAGTTATATAGGCAGATGTTCTAGGAATTTGTATACTCGGGCTCGTGAACACCTTCCAGTGTGGTTAAGCAAAGGTGTAGTCAGAACGGTTAACAGCTCTGTTTTAGCCCATTTAGTTCAGACGTGACATAGAGCCGACATCGAGCAATCCTTCACAGTAATATATCGTGTTAATAGTAGTCTACCTAATTCTGTCAGACAGAGAATGCTGCAGACGGCTAAGGCAATTGCTATTCGGATCAAAAAGCCAGAGCTCTGCATCCAAAAGAAATATGTACAGCCGCTCCTTTTACCCTGGCCAACTTCAGGGTCAACTTGTTAATGATCAATTTTGTAATATGGTGACATTAATTTGATTAATGTTCACTTCTATATCTCAAACTTAGTTTATCTACACATCTTATCAGTCATTATTCTTATTCTTATTATTATGATTATTATCACACCTGCTAACCTTTTAGAGAAATTTATTCGTCATCCACCCCCTATCTACTATATCTGACCTAATTTATATAATTCTACATATTACGTAATTTCCGATTTGTAATCCCATTTTTCTATCTCTCACCCCCATGTCAACTATATATATTCTGATCATTTATCTTACGATTTCATTCCACCTATAAACTGATTCAAGTTAACACATCATATTAGTCATCCCAAAAACATTAACGATTCGATCTTATTTTATTTTATATGACAATCAACAATCCTTGATTCACATATTACAGTTTCTTAAATTGATGTACTCCGCCTTAAACTTGGCCAATCTTCTTTTATGGATTATTAATTTATAATTGTAGAACCTGATGAGAAATTATTGAAAAGAATATTCTTCGTTCATATAATTGTGTTTTAATATGATGGGAATTTTTCAGCGATTAAATTCTAATTTATCAAACATATAAACATTAATAATAAACAAATAAAAATTATTATAAACAAGAGTTTTTGTTAAAAAAAAACTTTTCATTCATCTTTATTATTAATTAATATGACTATTCAATTTTATATTTTACATTATAAACTAATCAATAAACTTCCTTTAGAAACAAACAAAAAATCAATATTTTAATAGAATTCAATGATACAATTGATTATTATTTATTTATGATACATTTAAAAGAAAATCTAATCAATACAATAAAATATAATAATAATAATAATGTCATTGATCAATTTTTTTTAAAATTTTAGTGTATATATTACCCAATATTATTTCTATTTATAAATTAACATATTACAATGTTGATCTCAATTATGTAATCTCTTTCTTTTCTGATAAACAGAAACACTGTATATATGTGTGTATTACAAGCGTTAACTTCAATATGGATATATATGTAATTATTAACTGTATTCATAGATACAATAAATATATATAGAGAATAATCTTAAATAAAAGTGGAAACATGTGAAGATATGGTAGTTACAATTGGATTAGATGATGAATATTTATTATTATTTATATTTAATAAATTTTGTTCCATTTGTGATTTATTGATTAATGATAATTGTGGATTTTGTTCATCATTTTGATTTGAAAATATTTCTGATAATTGATTTGATTTGTTCGTTGATTCTATGATAGATTTATTTATTTTCATAGTTAATTGTTCATTATTATCGGTATTATTTAGTTTAGGTATATAGTCATTCATTTGAATAGTTTGTTGTTGTTTGTTTAAATTAAAACAATATAATGAATGATTGGTATTCTTTTCAATATCCAACTCAATATGATTGGATTCGTTATAATTACTATTATTATTATTATCATCATTATTTCTATGTGAATTTTCATCTAATTCTGTGATACATCCTTTGAGTATACCTTTTGGTGTTATATATAACAATGATTTATCATCCAAACAGAAAGTTTTTGTTATATTCGGATTTGATAATTCCATATTATTAAGTTTCATTAGACCTAAAATGGAATAATTAAAAGTGTATTTAAGGAGAAAATTATGGAGAACAAAGTAAAACTATTTATACTATGTATGATAGCATTTTCATTATGTAATAAGATAAAAATTTTGTGTCTTAGCCATAACTATTTGTTTAAATATGTCTTATTGTTTGAATATGTATCTACAAGGTGTAAAGATGATATATATTCCTCTTAAATCTATTCATTTAATGTACTACTAAAGCCATATTGGTTAAAATGAGTTTGATAAGGAGACAGTGAGATACTTGTGGTGCCATAAATCATTCCTGTTGACTTATAAACTAAATAAACGTTAATTTTATTGTTGTACTCTCTTTTCAGTAAGAAATGTGTATCCCTATCAGAAGGGGTGCTTCCAAGTTTTCCATGGTGTCCTTTCTGATTATAATCATATGCTCACTAGTCACTGACTTCAAAATATATATGTCCTGGAGTTCTAGTAAAAAGCAATGACCAGTGGAGTTCAACCACGTCTGTTGTGAGATAACAACTCACTAATGACAACTGGTGAACGGTTGCTCAAACTTCGTGGATTGGTTGAAGTTAGACAATAACACAGTTGGGTGCCAGCTCAGTGGTCTATCGGTTAAGTGCTCTGACGTGAGACTGGTAGGTCCTGAGTTCGAGTCTTGCGAGGCGGGATCGTGGATACGCACTGCTGAGGAGTTCCACAATAGGACGAAACGGCCGTCCAGTGCTTCCAGGTTTTCGATGGTGGTCTAGCTTCAATTGACTCATGATTTCAACTGTGTATCCCAATCTTAACAAAAGTCAATGGCAATCATTCAAAACCATGTATTGTTTGTTAAGCACTTGATCGACTGTTTATATTAGCGAAATGGTAACGTACTTATGATTTGCAAACTATTAAACATGGAAAGATCAAATAATTATGGTTGAATTTCATGACTGTATAGATCACTTAAGATAAAAGATGGTCGGTCACAAGAAAAATGAAAGCAGTAATAAATACAAGTACAATAATAATAATCTCAGTGAACAGTCATCTGAATTTCTGACATTTCTCAACTCAAAGTCGGTTCAGTGTTTTGCAGTATGACTGTGAAGATACCTCCATCTAGTTGTTTCACTTCATCTAGTGTTGCCTTTTGCTTTGATTAATAAACAACTATTGTTAACCAGTTTGAATTTTTTTAATTAATTGTATTTGTCGATTTTTCTAGCTGAATCCCACGTAGTCGATAGTCGGTAACTTAATATTGTAACCGTTTTTGTATTTTAGCACTGTATTTTAGGTAACCACTGAAATTTATTTAAAATATGAATCGTTTTGCGATGCTTAGGCTATGAGTTACTTTGTGAAAAACTCTCCTGGTCTGAGATAAATGACTTGTAACTTGTAGTCTTTGTTGACATAACACTTGTCTGTTAGATAAAAATAAATTCTTATTTTCATAGTACATCAAAAATGAAAGGTTTTAGTTGGATATAAGTTTATTCAGTTACAAGTATTTAGATGTAAACCACTAAAATTTCTATAGGTAGGGAATACAAAGGATCGTAAAGAAATAACTCGTGAAATACTATTTGAAATGCAGTAAGATTTTAAACAGTCCAGCTTATTAAATTATCAAAATGAGTTTACTTATAAATCTTATTTATATGTATATCTACATCAAGTAACACATTCTACTCAAGTTAAACTTCTAAACTAAATAAACTTACCATTTGCAAAATTTGGACTGACAGATATCTTGTTATTATACTCATCAATTGAATATTGATGTGGTTGAAGAATTTCATACTTTTGATTTGGTATATTTCTATTCATTTGATATTGATCAATTGTTTTATATCTTTGACTAAAGTAATCATTTGGACTTGCCGGTGCTGAATGTTGAACATGCATTAAAGATATCCATTTATCTGAAGAAAGATTTTCAGTTTTATTATGGTTATTATTGTGCACTGTTTGAAATTTTCTTGGAAATTGTAGTGAACTTGCAGTTATTGGAATATTATAATTGTATATAGGTTTTGAATGCTTTAAAAGAAACCATAACATATTACATTTGGGTAAACAATATATAAAAAAAATAAACAAACGTTTCTTGATAAGCTATTGAATGATAAAAAAAACGTTCATGATATATTCATATGGTATTATGTAAGTACTGACCTTACATTTTGACTAATTTGAAGTAAATACCATCAAATTTAAAGGATCACAGGACTTTGGTTACTAAAAAATACTTATGCAAATCAATAACATTAGTGTAGTAAACTCTTAGTACTTAGCGTGTGAAATTTGATCCGAAATTGGAGTATCTCTGATTGTGAACTATCCGTCGGCAACAAATTGTGGCATGTTAAAAATTTTCCTAAAGGTAAAAGTCAGCAGCTAACCATTTCTTCATGAAATAGAAACAAAGACTGGAAATGAACTCAACTACGGTTCGTGATTTTGACAGTCTGTTTAGCGACCAATCAGAACAAAGCAGGAACTATCGTTTTAACAATCTTTGTAAGCACTGGCGGTCAGCTTGCCTCATTCTGTGTGTTTTTTGCTATCTTTTTGGTGTTGCTGTAACATTTAATCCTTCAGTATGCGGAAACTCCTCAGTTTGTATGATATTCTAAGTGCTGATGCTAATTCTTTGGGTCGATTTTGTTCTCTCGGTTTTTGCTACTGCTACTCAGGTTAGTTTATTCTTTACGGTGTGCTTAGGTGTTTTGTGTGATAAAATGTTAATTAGTTATATTTTGAGTACGTTTTTGTAGATATCAGACATCAGAGTAATAGATTCGTAGCTAAAGTCAATGTTGCTGCCACTTGGGATTTTTTAAACGTCAGCATACTCGTTCCTGAGTGTTATTTATGATATTGTCGAGAACTATAAAAGAAAAATCTCCGGTTTGTTATTTTCTTTTGTATTATGGATAATCCTCTACTCTCAAGGAGTAAAACTAATACTGAGTGTCCAGTTGCTGTGGATACCAGTGATGTATTCAAAAGGATTATTAGACCAGGCATCTGACAATATGGGACCGGTTCATAGATGCTATCGATCTATTGCAGAAGACTTGTTATTGAAAATATACCATAAAACATTAATTAATCAATTTGATGCATTACGTGATTCGTAAAAGCAAGTTAAACAATTAAAAGCCGGAAATCTATAGTGGTTAGTCTATCTCAAATATAAATCCTTATTACATTATCTATACCATGTAAATAAGCTCACTATTATTATTGTTCATAAATGTTCATTGACATACCAATGGATCATTTATGTACAGTTTAACTATGCTATTTGTACTAATAACCAAATTTGTGAACAGCAACTGAGTCTGTTCATCACATCCAAGTGTGAAAAAAGTGTAGTGCTTAATCTAAATTGCAAACCACATAGTTGTTTGAATGTACCAATGTAGGAGTTTTTCAGAGACTAGTGATTTACAATTGTCAATTGAAAAAGAACAGGCGATGTTGATTTTGAAGATAGCAAGAACGATGATTGAAGCAAAATGGTATGAATTCATTTTATTTCGCTAAATTCTCATCTGCTGCTTACAACCTATAATATTTTAAAATCAAATTTATTATAGATATCGGCATACTTATAAATATAAAACTGATTGAAAATGAATATGTGTATCATGATGAAGAGGAGATACCAACAGAGTTAATAAGGTCATAAAACATTTTCTTTTCAGATAAATAAAGTGTGAGAAGAAAAGTTCCAGGACATTGAAATAATGGTTAGAAATTATTTAGTCAACAAACATTAGATGATTGTGCAATAAAGTAGCTGAAAACAGATTAATGTTAATAAACAATGAAAACTACGAGTTAAAAAAATGACAGTGATGTAGTCAAAATTGGGAAAAATTTTAAACAATGAATTATGCAACAAAAAGAATGTAATGTTGCTAGGGCAAAGAAAGATGTACTACTGTGTGTCTTTTTGGACAGATATATATGGTTTCAGACGTTTGGCCGCTATAACTTCAGCGAATTTTAGAAAACCTTAAAGATTTCAGTTTATCCACCTGATATCTTGTATCAAAAAGTTGTGTCAAAATAGCACTGCTGAACGCTTTGAATGCTCTTTGGATCGGATGCAGGCCTTCCTTTCATTTTTATCAGAGTAACTGCTTTGGCAAATACATGTGAATTCGCATATATAGTTGATGGTAACATAAAAGAGATACCTATCGATCCTTGAGTATGTTAAAGAACCTGATGTTTTGTACAAGACACTCAGTTTATTTGCATGATAAGTTCTTGTCAATGGAGTTTTCAGTCTTATGTTGATTCATCACCTTTTGATTTAGGTCGAATAAAAATAGGTTTTTTTTTGTTTATTGTAGTTTCTCTGTTTTTTTTTGTCTTCACGTTTCGCATCTTTCTAGATAAATTTTTGTGGGTGTCCATTGTTTTTTTAAACATCTTTTCACATTCATTCGTTCCTCTTTTAGTGTATCGATGGTATATATTCTTTCTATTTTGTAAAGCATTATTTTAAACAGTGCCTTTATGACTAGCCTGGTGTGCACATAAATACATTAACTTTTCCAAATTCAAGATAAATCTAAAGAAATCTGAAAAAATCTATGGTTTATAAAAAAGACTTTTAAAACGTAACCTGATGCTTTTAAACCAGCTAATTTACCGGTCTTTACTTGTCGATATACTAGCTGAATACAAAAACTAACCTTCATATAAAGCGAATAAGTAATAAAGCTGAATTTTAGAATTATGAAATCTAAAATGTTATGATTTACTACCTGTATATCTGTATTTATTGAGGTCATTTCTTGTGTACAAAATCCTAGTTGATGCATAGATCCTGTTGTTGAGTTAGTATTCGTATCATGTTTGACGAATGGTGAATAAAGAGTGGGATCATGGTTACTGCAGCTGTTGTTGTGAATTTTATGGTCTGGTTTTTCTAATGTTTGAAACTTTGTAGGTGAATAAGTATTCTCAAGGTTAGTGAAGCGATGTGAATTAACAGAAAATTGACTACCACAATGTTCTGTTTGGCACAAATTGAAATTTTCAGTTAAATGATTTGAACCCCGTTGCAGCTCATAGGTTGCTACTTTTTGACGAGCTAATGTAATGGCCACAAGAAAAGCAAATGCAACTAATGTTGAAATAGCAATAAGGCATATAACAGAAATCCAAATTTTTTCTAAACTGAATGGAGTCGACGGTTTTTGATTTGTCATAGTAGAAACTCTCTCTTTTCGACGATATTTCTCATTTGAATGTGATGAAATAGGCAGGATAGTCTGGGCATAAGTTGGTTCATAAATATGTGAGTCCCTGATATCATATCGTGACTGGATTCTATCGAATTCTTTGTTTGCTGCATGAACTACTTCATTATCATTTTTTGAAATTGACGAGCGGTAACCGTTTCTTGAATTCGACGATTCTATATTAGTAAGTTGATATTTGCCATTGTTGAATAATGATAACTGAGGTGAGTTACTATCTAATATGATATTTATGTTTGCATATCCTGAGAGACTTGGTGTACCACCATCACGTACCTTTTTTTAGAAAAAGATTGAATTTACAGTAATACTAGTTAGCATGACAATAAGAACATTTGGATTATTTCAATAAAATGAATAATCTCAGAAAATGTAATCACATATGAGTATCTACAACTATTGTGTATTAATACTCAATATGATCAACTTGACAATATTATAGGTTGAAGGAAACTGAAATGATGGATTGATACAAGGTTAAGAATTACTGGAAGCCATGAAGAACTCTTAAGCTATTTTAGTTCAGTTTGAGTCTCATAGGTGATGTACGTAAAAGTTCGTCCAAATTTTTTTCATTTATCTGCTAACGATTGTCTCATAAAAAAGTCTTCGGAGTTTGAGTACAAACTCATAACCGAAGGAATACGATTTCTTTTAGGTCAAGACGTCAAGAAAGTATAACGGATAGAATTTTTATTTGTTACAAGTTAACTTTAATCATTCAGTATATCATATTACATAAATAATGATTGTCATGGTATATTGTAAATATAAATAAATAAACATGCATGTTTGTGATTTCAGGAAAGTTTGATTTGCTGATGATAAAGCTTCTTCTAATTGAACAATTATGTGAATGAGTGAAGATTTGTTGTCATTATGTACTTCTAGCTTGATGGTTTATTTAGGAAAAACACTAATTTAGATTTAATTTTGAATTCTAGATTAGTATCAATACTTTGAAGTAGACATATAAATTTTGGGAAAGAGAGACATCCAATGATGATATTAGTCACAGAAGGTGCAACTCAAAAGGTACTGTATGTTTACAGATAACTAAATATTTAGCTAGATTCGTCAAAAACTATATTTTTGTTAAATCCCAATTAGTACTCATCGGAATATAACAAAAATATATTTACTATTAACTCTATACCCAATGCTCAATTTATTTGAAACTATCAAATCCAACGTTAATATGGATACCTATAAGTGAACAATGTTATTTAAAGAGTTTTAAGTCGACCTCTTTAAAGTTTAGCCACGTCAAGAGTGAAGTAGTTATTGATAATGCTATCAAATAAATTTTATAATAAATTATGCTTCTAGTAAAGTTAGAACTGTTAACTACTGAATCTCAATTAAAAGAGTGAGTTTTCAGGTATACCACTTGACCTAAAAAGTGTAGATTTGTTTTATAATATTGATTGTTTTATTTGGACTATTGAAGACGACAACTAAACACCTGTCTAGATCTGTCTATTTTTTTACAGGTTTTTCTGCCGATGTTATTCTTCGCTGAATATTTATCTTCGATTTGTACATGGTCTTTAAAAAGTGTTTGTCACTAATTAGTTCTCTACAATCGTGTATGTGTTTTATCCTTTTTAAATAGGAAAGAAAATTCATTTGCTCAAATATAAATAAGTCATAAAATAATGTAGACTTGTTTCCTTTTTATTCCGACCATTAAATTTCACATCGTCAAAGAAATGAGTTTTTACTATAAGACATTATTTTAACGATGAATATATAATAATATATAATTTATAAACTTGTACCTCAAACTTCAGTTGATAGCGACCTCCAATATTGAATGGATCCACTGTTGGTAGTAGACTTAGTTCTCCAGTATGAGGATCAACTGTAAAAATATCTTTTTCTTTTGATTCATCAAGAAGATGAAAGGTTAATTGCGAATTCACACCTTCATCTGAATCTGTTGCTGTTAGTTTAACTAGAGGAATTCCCTGCAATGGTTTATAAAAAATTATATAAAAACGTTTCTGTAAGAAAATATTTAAAAGTTGACAATTTTCAGAGTAAATAGTAAGTTAAATTTGTAACAACGGTTTTATCTATACTTCACATGCTTAAATGTATTGTGCAAATATTTTGAGGCAGTTTCTCTTTTTATTTGTAATTCCAAGCAACAAACTGATAAACAAAAACCGACTTGGAAACTAAGTTATCTTGTAATGCGAAAAAAATACTTACGAAAAAAATTTTGTTCACAATTTATAACTATCGTTCCACTATAAACAAAGATGGATAATGGCTAGCAGTGGAATCCAGGACGCGCATTTCGTCCTATTTGGGAATCATAAACTGGATGTACCTGCATCTCATAGTTGATGTTCACTCTGGGACTCGTGCGTCCTAGATTCCACTGTTAGCCATTATCCATCTTTGCTTACAATGCTTGTAAATTATGGCAATGTCGAGGCAATATGCACAGTATGCACATATGCCAATAAGAGACTGACCAGTTGCAGTCCTAAGCATCAATGGGAATTTTCAAACAAACAATACCAAGTATATCGTTCCACTGTTTACTTATCTGAACTAGTATATATCTTAAACTATTTGAAATGTAGGTTTCAAATGATCAATGCGTAATTCATAGAGTATAAGATATTTTTAAACTTACCATTCCAATAGCTTCATATATGGAAGACTGATTGTAAATTTATATTTTTGTAATATATATGTATATAAATTTAAGATCAATATGTTTTCAAGCAAGTAACATACTATCAATCCAATTTTATATTACTAAAGTGAATATTAGTCAAAGTATCCTCATATCAAACCGATTAAAATTTAAATAACAATTTACTGTGATTATAATATCCATGGAAAAATATCTTTTTTTTAAAAAAAGAAGTAAGTTGATTGCAAATCAATTAAATAAGGAAAAAAATAGAACAATTTCCGTATGTATATAATCCCTTTAGGCAATCTATGAAAAAAAAATTGAAAATCAGAAATTCACTGATTAATAAACTCAAATGATACTTTTTTAGTTCATAGATCTATTTTCTTTTCTTCTCCTTATTTTTAAAAAAAGAAAGAAAGATCTATTGGCCCCTTTAAGCATAAACAACAATAAGACTGTTATGACGATAGATTATAATAAATAAAACAAAACAAAATTGTTGAAACGTTAATAGGTTCCATGGTAATTACATATTCCATTCATTTTCTCTTCGGTGAATATGATTGTTTATAATTTTATTGTTTATTCAAAATATTTAATAATTTACATTATAGATTCCTTTAAAAGTAAAGGAGGTAAACTTTTCAAATAAACACTTTGTTTCATTTATTTCATTTATATTCATATATATTTGAGTTAATCTGTCTTTGGTGTATTGTCGTCATGACTATTATTATTGTCATTATTATTAAAATAATAAAGATATTTCTTTAAATATAAAATCAAATTTAAATTTCATTTATTTTAATTCTAATTTTATTCCTTTGAAATATATAAAATAAAATTGAAAAAAAGCCTTAGGCAGTTACATCATTATATATACAGTAATAGAGTAATCATTATTATTATTGTTATAGAGACAACACTGATGAATTTGTGATATTCTTATATTGTTTCTTAGATAGATAATTTTTTTTCTTTCTTTCTATATACATTAAATGATGCATTCAGTATTTTGTTTTGTTTTAATTATTATAACCACTAATTCAAAAATCAATTTATCTTTGAACGAATAAAATGAATGTAACACAGTTATACAAAAAAACAACTTTTTACATTGTAAAGAATGGTGGAGAGTGATTATAGAAAGAAGTAGTAATTTTCATTCTACATAATTATAAATAAAATTTAAAAAGAGACATTAATTATCAATAATTATATATCTATATATACATACATATATCATTGATATATCCTTTTGAAGAAAAAAAGATAAAAGGGATTTAATTTAAGGGTATATAGAATTTTGTTTCTAAGAATAAGTTTAAAAATAAGTTTGAACAATAATTGTTGATTACTCAATAGAGAAAAATCAACTAATTACAACAAAACAAATAAGTAGAAATATGAAATATTGAAAACTATTCACTAACAATTCATCACATATATACCGCATCAGTATTAAGTAAACATTTATTCTCAGAGATTTTATTTTTATTTTTATTTGATCGTAAATGTTTTATTTGACTGAATAATCATTCACATTGTACATGTAGTCTTTTTAGAGTTACTAGCGGTCTGAAGCCTGGTTAACAGGCGACGATTGGGTATTGGATCAGCAATTCCATCCCGTAGAAAACAAAATTGCTGAAAAAACACTAACCAGAATAATCAACTTAATCAATTTGAAGTCTATTCAGAAGTTGAAAGATCTTTACTTAGAATAATTATCACGTCTCATGGTGAAAGCCGAGCTTCATCTAAAATCACGAGACCAATGTCTCGTCTGACAACAAAAGCAACAATTAATATAGCAATATGAAATGTCTGGATGATGTTTGAGACTCGGAGGACCAGTCAAATAGCAATGGGGATGAGGAGATACAACTTGGTGCTGCATGAAATAAGCGCAAGCTGGACAGAAGTGATTAGCTTCAGTAAAGATGCTATTGTACCCTGATCAGAAAGAAGAACATGGTTCGCGCACACAGTTTCTTGCATTGATGCTGTCAAAGGTAGTATTAAAAGCACTCGTAGTATGGGGATCTCATGCATCTCAAGGATCATCAAAGCATGATTCTAAGCAAAGAAAGATGGAAGCACATTGAATGTTATCCAGTGCTTTGCACTCACTAATGATAACAACGACGACGACAAAGATCAGTTTTATGAGAGGTTGCAGTCAATCATAGAGAAGTGTCCAGGAAAGGACGTGACTATCCTGAGCATTAGAAATGACAAGCGGAAATACATGGGACATCTAACAATCATAGAGAAAAAGCCTCAATAGAAGGAAATATAAGACAACTATATGATACAACGAAGAAACTAGCACGGAAATATAGCAAAGCAGAGAGACCAGTCAAGGACAAAGAAGACAAACCAATCACTGAGACTCAAGAACAGTGGGATGGGTGGATATAAACTTTCAACAAATCTTGAGTAGGTCAACCCCACTGAAAGCACCGGCCATAGAAGTAGTACACACAGACTTTCCTTTACATGTCACTTCATCAACACTTTGAAGAAATCAAAGTTGCCATCAGACAAAGCAAGAGTAGTGAGACAACAATACTAGATAACATACCATCCGAAGTACTGAAGTCAGATAAAGAAAAAACTGCAAACATGCTCCACGATCTATTTAGAAAGATTTCGGAGGAAGAAGTATCACCGACCGACTGGAAAAAAGAATACTTTATGAGGATACTAAAGAAAAGAGATCTGAGCAAGTGTGACAACTACGGAGGAATCATGCCACTATCAGTACCAGCAAAATTGTTCAACAGAGTGTTGTTGAACCGGATGGAAAATCAATGGATGTCCAACTTCTAGACCATCAGGCTGGATTCCGTGAAAGATTTGTCTTGCACAGACGAAAACGCGGCACTACGTATTATTGTTTAACAAACAGTTGAATGGAATTCATCGCTATACATCAACTTCCTTGACTGTGAGTAAGCATTTGATAATATGGATAGGAGGATTTCATGAAACCTTTTTCAACGCTATGATGCACGTGAGAAGGTCGTTAGCATCATCTGGAATTCATACGACGGACTACACTGTAAATTAGTACCTGAAGGGTAGTTTACATATGAATTTCAAGGGAAGAACAGTGTAAACAAGGCTGCTTACCCATGCTTTTTCTCTTCCTTCTAGTGGTCTACTGGATTATGAGGACATCCACATCTAATAGGAAGCTTGAGATATAATGGACAACTTGGGTACAGCCAGGCGATTAGGACTTCTCAGATAACACAACTCTTCTATCCCACACACTTCAACAAATACAGGTGAAGACAGTCAGCGTAGTAACAGTATCTGTATCAGTAGGCCCCAACATACAAATAATGACTGAATAGAACTAAAATACTATATCCGAAATAGAACTCTATGGTTAAACAAAATTCGAAAACTTAAAATGCGTCAACAACTATTTAGATACTTTACTATAGTAAAATATGAGGCATCTACAAGCAATAATTCAGTGAAATAAACTTACTGGATTAGTAAATACTGAAGCATAAACTGTATGATTACTATGAGTAGGATAGACAAATTTCGGTGTATTATCATTGATGTCGTGAACTTTGATGTGCACTTGACAGGAAGAACTTTGCTTTGGTATTCCATGATCATAAGCTAACACCTATGGAAACAGAGAAATTTTATCAGTATATAGTTGTGAAGACTGTTGAGATTCATTGAAATCACGCATCAATTAATGTTAGACTGCTATTGAGAATCTAGAAGCACTAGATGACCACTTTTTTCCTGGTATGAGACACCTTAGAAGCACGTTTCCACGATCCTGCACGCGGGAATCGAACTCCCTACCCTAAGACTTACTCGCAAACGCCTAAGCTTTTAACCACGAGGATGGCATTCAATGGTGTTGATGTCTAACTTAAATCAGTCCACGATAACGCACGAGCGTGTCGAGTATGAGACCGGTACCCACTGAAGACAATAGGTGTTCCGGTAATATCGTGGATTAGTTGGAGTTAGATAGTAGTGTGTCAGGACATAATTGTGGTTCAGCACTTACAAGAAAGCGTTAGTTAGAAAGTGCGTAACAAAAGCTTTAATATGGTGAAATGAACTGGATAAGTTCGTTTTGACCTTGATCTCGATGTTATTTAAATGTATAAGCTCTATTTTTATTGTTTGTTTTCATGTGTATAACCTTACGTGAAATTATCGTGTCGTTTAGTGTTTTCGTGTTTCTTCCTCTTTTCAAAACAAACATTTAGTTGGTTTTTAAAAGAATGTCTAAAGACTAGACAGTTGACTTTGAATGCTAATAGTATGGTCACAATTATTATATTTAGGATTATTGGTATGTTGTCATCGAAGTTTTGAAATGATCATAAACGAAGCCAAATAGTTCTGTGTTGAAACTTTTTGACATCATTACTGAATTTTTTATGCTGGTTAATTGTTCAATGAAATTCATTAAAAAGTGAATGCACTTGACTTACCCGGACTTTTTATATAGTATAATAAAAAGGAGTGACTTTGACTTATTTTAGCTGAATAGCTGATTTCTTTAAGAAGATTGTTGAGTCTAATTCATAAAAAACTACTTCACATAATAATTAAAAGTGTATCGAGTTACTGCACCATAATTCAGTGTACATACTTGACTGATTCTTACTCAAAATATCCAGCTTTCTTATAATGTCCGATTATTATCAACAAGTGCATGAGTAAAAAAATTAAAATGGCTTGTTGATTCGAGGTCAGTAATGACATAAATATCTTGTAATTGGTAACAAATATTTTTTGATGTTGTTCTACTGAACACTTAAAGATAGGATTCAGAGAAATCAAGCAATGAAAATTAAATTTTCATTGGATTCGGAGCTGATAATTGCTAAGTCAACATTATCGGCAGATGTAGTCAAAGTCGTACTTCTTTTATGATATTTGACAAAAATGGGCCCAAAACAACTCGAACTGTAGTTCAATACTGTTTCAATTATGAATGTCGTAATCAAGATGCTGACTGAATTGGACTTAAGAAAACTTTGACTCAACAAGTAGAACAGATTTAGTATCGATCTCGTAATCTATCGACCGAACATATGGTTTAGTATTTATTAGTAAACTTGAAAAGATGATTCTTACTTCCTAGAGCACTCGTCTAGAACAGAGAGATTTATGTTTAAATGTTTATTGAAAACTTAGTTGTACTAATATTTTCCATTTGTTTAAAGTGAATAGAAGTTTACCATCAAGTCTAATTTAATTACACTTTTTCTGACATTATGACAGTTTATGAATTGTTTGTGTCATTAGATAGACATATTTTTAGACGTAAGATAGTTATACGGAAAATAAACAAAATTATTTTATCTGGTTACAAAGTGCAAGAAATGAAAAATAGTTAAAGTTCACCCATGCTATACTTTCATTGAAAAAAATGTCTTGTAGTAGTTTTTTCACGTATCCCCTTTCAACTGTAATATATGCCATATGATTCAAGATCAGAGTATACTAAGACAATAAAAACCAAACAGTTACATAATTAATTAATCATAGAAAGCGCACGTTACTTGTTCAGTAAACTTAAACTGGTAAATTGAAAGTTTAGTTAAATATTAGATTCCAGGATTTCTTCACTCTGTATTATACCAAGATTCACTCGGCGAGTGATATCTGGATCATATACTGTTATCCTAGTGCTTTAAACTAATATCGGTACATAAATTTAAATATTATTAAGGCATCTTTTAGTCACTTTAAATTTGTAAATCACAAGTAAGTCTCCTCAAATTCTAGATGTTACATCACCACCTGGTTGTCTGTGAATGCAAAACGATTAATTCAAAATTTTAATGTAGTTTCTTTAGTGGAGTCTAATTAAATAGCTGTAAAATAATTAAGATTTCTACACCTTCCTAGTGTCTTTTAGTAAAAAAAAAACATAAACTTTAGTTCTCGATACTTATTTGCTATTAATTTTACAAGGTCTTTATCAGAAGATCGTGGTGAAGTTTAACACGAATCAATGAGTTCTCAGTTAGAAAGTATATGCAATTCATCAGGATTTAAGTAATCAACTAAATCCTATTACAACTAATGTATATAATATTTAATTTAAAGTATGTAAGATGAACAGTTATTCCTATGTTAATTAGATTACTTACCTTAAAAGTATAACTATCTAATTTTTCCCGATCCAACGGGGTACGTAACCATAAAGTTCCATTATTTCTATCAAGTCGAAATGTTTTTATTGCATGCCCCTAAAAAATTAAACAAAAGTAAATCCATACAAATAAATTAAATTTCCTTTATAAAATATGAAACTGACATTACCATCAATATATAGATATTGTGTTCCCAACAATCGTGTTACTTTTAATAAACTTTTTAAGTAGCGTAAGTTTTTCGTTTCTCATGAATGACAGGTAGTTTAGATTCATTACTGTACAGTTGTCTATTGAGATGAACATGTGTTTTTTGAATATGTAGAAATGTTAACTACACTTTTAAGTAAGATTTAAAATTGAAATGTCTATTTACAGTTTACAAAAACAGAGGGCACACTCATTTTTAGGCCAATTAAAAACAGATAATTGAACGGAATGATCAACTGTTTAATATTCAGTTGAACAAAAATAATGATAATTAATGAATTATTATTTTGGCTTATAACTAACGGTATAAACCTATTTTGAATTGTCTATTCATGGCACGACTTATACCAGCTTTATCAAGAGTGAAAAACTATTTAACTTTTCTGATATAATTTTCTGTTAATTAATTTGATTAGCAACAATTCCACATTTTAGAATGTAGCATAATATTTCATAAGTTAACTAACTATAATACAATGTGTTACGGATACATCCAGCTGACGAGTTCCAAATAGAACGAAACTCGTGTCCTGGATTCCACTTCTAGTCGCCATCCATCTCTGCTTATAATAAAATAGTAGATATCGGAAAACTACATTAGGTTAGTGAAAGAAACACGTTAGAAATTCGCGTTTTTTTTTTAAAGTGAATTTAAAGTGAGTTAATTGATATAGTTATTTGTTATAAACAGTTGTTTCTAATTAGATTTGTTAACTTTATTCTATAGCATACTTTATTCATTATGTATACATATATCTTCATACAAAAAGTATTACTGTTTGTGGTCATAACCTTACAGATCCATTATATCTTTCCAATTAGGAACAATGTTTTTGACGGACATTGTTGTGACTAGTTAAGTTTTATTCATGCATCAATGGGTATGTAGTTGAAGTATAGTCTCCCTTAATTGTTATTCATTTATTTTGCGAACATGATATATTTCATGTATATAATACTTATATTTTAGAACTGTAAGTAGAGTTCTGTACTGTAAGTATTCATAAAAACAATATTTGCTTGACACTTCATTAATTAATAATAAAAAAGAATAGGCTTTTTATGATACGTAACATGAGTATATAACAATTATAAATCAATTTTTCTTTTCGTAATTCTGTTTTCTTGAATAAGAGAATAACTGATGAATTATTCATATACTACTGAAATCCATCTTACCGTGATGCTTTCCTTTTATTTAATTACCTTTTCTTTTATATCATGATAGATTCCAGCGTAGGTGGTTAAAGAACATTTTTACAGTTATCAGATGTAACAAGTTTTTTTACCTGATTGTAGATAAAATCATATAGATCTGTGAAATATATTCGTAAATATTATTTTCCTTTGTCTAGCTGAATTATAAAAATAACTCTAATTGTGCCAAATGTAAAGTTTATTCTTCGATTTATATATGGATAAATTAATTATCACTTGTAGAGTATTGAATTATCAATTTAACTGTATTTAGAATTATTCTTTTATTAAGGAACTAAATTGATAGTTGAGTAAATAACAGGAAAGGTCAGTAAGAAGATTCTTCCTTTATGTATATAGTCAATTCTATCTATAAAAGGTCACTCTTTAGATGTTATCAATTAATTTTGATTTAGAATGTTATATACTATAGCAATAGATCTTTTGAAATGGTCGGGTTCATTACTCTATCCATATGTTTTAAAAGAAATCAACAGACAACAAATATTAGGTTAGATCATGACTAATATAAATTTGATCACATTTTTTGTCAGTTAATTATATTTATATAACATGAAGTACCTGATGTGATCACAATCCTTGAACTCATCAAAAAATCCATTGTTAGTACCAAAATATAACGCATTTTTGGTATTTTTTTTTCACAATTCATTGTAAAGAAGTGATTTTTTTTATTCAATAGAATAAATCATGTATTTATATTGTTTAATTGTAAGTAGAACTTGAGAATTGCTTACTGGACCGTACAATAAATTAGTCAACCATTATACCACAGAAAGAATTTTCTATTTAGCGTAACAAATGAATTTAGTTTATTTGGTTCTAGCATAACCATTTTATCAGAATAACACAATGAAAATCTGTTAGCATACTGCATTATATCTATCTATCTATCTATCTATCTATCTATCTATCTATCTATAGATATATATCTATATATCTATATATATATCTATATCTATATATATATATATATATATATATATATATATATATACTATTATTCCCATACCATGATAATGCTATTATTATCCCATAAATATGAAGTGTAACTATATTTTAGTTAAAACGAAATAACTGGATGGAAAATAGAAGTTTTGTTTCAGTTGTTAGGTATACTTTGCTCATACAGGTTTGACTGATTTATCTTCTATCACTTTGAGTTATATTTTTATTTAATTAGATTATTTTCATTTGGATACTGATTTCATCTCTCAACAAAAACAACAACGTTTTTCAGACTTTTTGCCAGTATACCCTTATAAATTTCACTTTTGATACATATTCATATCAATCTATGTATGTTTGAATAAATTCGAATAGTATCAATTCTATTTAGTAATAATTTTTCTCCTCCCAGTAAGACCGTTTCATTGTCGAGTATTTACTTCCTGTCACGATCTTTAGTGATATAAGCAAACTCATGTATAATATTAATATCAAATATGAAAGGATAACTTTTGATTAGAATATATTTATACGCATAAACTGTTTTATTCTATTCTGTTACTCGAACCAGTAAGTTGAACCATTTAACCGATGAAGTGTAAACGCCTAATTTAGCCATTAAGAAAGAAAAAGAGATCCTGTATTAACAGGTCACTGATTCATTTTGATAAAAAAAGATTTTTCTTCAAGGAGTCAAAGATATGTCTTTGCCTCATACACTCCAGCCACATTTTACTTAAAAAAAGAGTTAACAAAACAATTGAAGAAAATAATCTAGTTTGCAATAACGAATTGTATTGTATTGCACTAGCTCAACGTATTCATCTACATAATTTCGCACGCCTGTTTTCAATATCATTTGTTGTGTATCTATTTAGGTAAAAATATATTATCATATCAACTTTCATAGATTCTGTTTACGTGTAGTTATCATTAGAATAGTGAAGAATCCTATTTCATATTTATTATTTCCATTGTTTGTACTCATGAAATTAGGTCATCTCCATGTGAAAACTCCGTTCATATGATATTTATCCCTCCATTATTTTCTATTTCATTTAATCTAACTGTACATTTAGTAGAATAGCAAAACTAAAATATGTTTATAGCACACAGCTTTAAATGATTTAATGCAAAGTAATGATAGTAAAAATGATAATGGAGTAGATTAATAATTACTCTTAAATTTATAGTGTTTAACTATGTAACACACCTGTCCATGTGTTTACTCTAACTAATTACAAATTATTTAGCTTTTAGCTCCTTATTAAGTGGAGATTATTAGTTAAACTTTTTGTAGATTAAAATAGTTTATTTTGTACTAGGCTTCAATGTTACCGTCGACTGATAAAAAATGGCATTAAACTACAAACACTTATTCTATACATGAAATGATCATACTAATCATACGGTACTTTATCAGTCATAAAGCGAAATGATATTAGATTAGTTATCATTATGTACGATTTGCTGTAGATGGTGAACAATAGACAGGGTTTATTTCCCACAATTAGACTAACCAGGAATAAGTTCAAACAAAATGAGAGATTCCCATTTTGACATTTGTTAATTAAAAAGGAACGAATCGAGCGAAAACTCCGCCTGTAGCTCCTCCAGGGGCTACTGCCGGTCCCAAGCCCGGGTAAAGGAGGAGGGTTGGGCATGGGGTTAGCGACCCCATCCCGTAGAAAATCAACTCGCTAAAAAACGCTAACCAGAAAAAATCATTCAAACCTTTCAAACTCTGCCCTGGGAGTAGAAGGAATAATTATGACGTCTCATGATGAAAGCCGAGTTCCTTCGGAAGTCATGAGGCCGATGCACCTTCTTACAACCAGAGCGACAATTTTTATAGGTACATGGAATGTCCGAACAATGTGGGAGACCGGAAGAGTTTTCCCAATTGCTGCAGAAATGAAAAAATACAACCTGGAGGTTCTTGGAATCAGCGAAACACATTGGACGCAGGTTGGACAACAACGACTGTCTTCAGGGGAACTTCTGTTATACTCAGGTCATGAAGAAGAAAATGCCCCACATACACAAGGAGTTGCATTGATGCTGTCCAGAAAAGCACAAAATGCACTTATGGGATGGGAATCTCATGGACCAAGGATCATCAAAGCTTCCTTCAGAACAAGGAGAGAGGGCATTACAATGAACGTCATTCAATTCTATGCGCCTACCAATGACTACGATGAAGACACTAAAAACCAATTCTACGATAGGCTGCAGTCGATCGTCGAGAAGTGCCCAACCAAGGACCTGACAATTCTGATGGGAGATCTCAATGCTAAGGTTGGAATGGACAACACTGGATACGAAGACGTCATGGGACAACATGGACTGGGAGAAAGGAACGAAAATGGTGAGAGATTTGCAAACCTATGTGCCTTCAATAAACTGGTCATAGGTGGCACCATATTCCCACACAAAAACATACACAAAGCCACTTGGATTTCACCGGATCACACTACACAGAATCAAATCGACCATATCTACATCAACAAAAAGTTCAGGAGGACGATGGAGGATGTGAGAACCAGGAGAGGAGCTGATATAGCATCCGATCACCATTTGCTGGTCGCCAAGATGAAACTAAAACTCAAGAAGCAGTGGACAACGGCGCGGACAACATCACAAAAGTTTAACACGGCCTTTCTTCGAGATGCTGACAAACTCAACGAATTTAACATAGCCCTCAGCAACAGGTTCGAGGC